AGTTTTCCTTCCATGGAGTAGCTGGTGGGTTTGAACCGCCAACCTTCTAGTTAGCAGTCAAATGCTTTAGGCACTGTGCCACCAGAGTTCCTCAGTTATAAACAGGTAGTCTTTTATGTAGATCACTGTTGTTTTCAGATGATATCGAGTTGGCTCTGACTCATAGCAACCATACATACAACAGAATGACACACTGCCTGGTCTTGCCCTGGCCTCGCAATCCTTGTCATACCTGAGCCCATCACTGCAGCCAGTGTGTCAATCCATCTCTTTGAGGATCTTAACCTCCCTGGCTGATCCTCCACTTTACCAAGCATGATATCCTTCTCCAGGGAATGGTCCCTTCTGACAACATGACTAAAGGAAGTGAGGCAAAGTCTGGCCATTTTTGCTTTCATGGAGTGGTTTGGCTGCACTTCTTCCAAGACAGATTTGTTCTTTTGCCAGTCCATGGTACTTTCAGTATTCTTCGCCAGCACCACAACTCAAAAGCATTAACTCTTCTTCAGTCTTCCTTTTTTACTGTCTAGCTTTCACATGCACATAAGGTGAATGAAAATACCACGGTTTGGGTTAGGCACATCTTAATCTTCAAAAATTATCTTTGTTCTTCAGCACTTTAAAAAGGTCTTTTGCAGCTTATTTGCCCAGTGTAATATGTAATCTGATTTCCTGACTGCTGCTTCCATTGGTGTTGACTGGGGATCCAAGTAATATAAAATCTTTGAAAATGTCAGTCTTCTATTTATTTACTGTGATGCTGTGTATTGGTCTAGTTGTGAGGATTTTTGTTTTCTTTATGTTGAGATGTAATCCATACTGCAGACCGTAGTCTTTAATCTTCATCAGTAAGAGCTTCAAGTCATTTTCACTTCCAGCAAAGCAAGGTTGTGTCTGTGTTATCACAGGTTGTTAATGAGTATTCCTGCAATCCTGATGCCCAATTCCTCTTCATATAGTCTACCTTCTCAGATTAATTGCTCAGCATACTGATTGAACAGTATGGTGAAAGGATACAACCCTGATGCACGCCCTTCTTGATTTTAAGTCACGCAGTATCCCCTTGTTGTGTTTGAAAGACAGCCTCCTGGGCTATGTACAGGTTCCTTATAAGCATAATTAAGTGTTCTGGAATTCCCATTCTTCTCAGTGTTACCCATAATTTGTTATGATCCACACAGTTAAATGCTTTTGCACAGTTGATGAAATACAAGTAAACACCTTTCTGGTATTCTTTGTTTCAGTCAAGATTCATCTGACATCAGCAATGATATCCCTCATTCCATATCCTCTTTTGAATCCAGCTTCCATTTCTGGAAGTTCCCTCTCAATATACTGCTACAACTTTTTCAATTATCTTCAGCAAGATTTTACTTGTATGTGATATTAATGATATAGTTTGATAATTTCCACATTCTTTTGGATGCCCTTTCTTTGGAATGGGTACAAATATGGATTTCTTCCAGTCAGCTGGCTACGTAGCTGTCTTCCAAATTTTTTTTTGGCATAGACAAGAGCTTCTAGCATGGCATCTGTTCACTGATACACATCAGTGGGTGTTCTGTCAATTCCCGGAACCTTGTTTTTCACCAATTCCTTCAGTGCAGCTTCTACTTCTTCCTTCAATATCATTGGTTCTTGATCATATGCCACCTCCTGAAATAGATTAACACTGACCAATTCCTTTTGGTACAGTGACTCGGTGTATCCTCCCATCTTCTTTTGATGTTTCCTGCATCAGTCAATATTTTGCCCACAGAATCTTTCGATATTGCATCTCAAGGCTTGAATTTTCCCTTCAATTCTTTCAGCTTGAGAAATGTCGTGGGTGTTGTCCTCTTTTGATTTTCTAACTCCAGGTCCTTGCAGATTTCATTATAATAATTGACTTTGTTTTCTCCAGCAGCTTTTTGAAATCTTTTGCTCAACTCTTTTATGTTGTCATTTCTTCCATTTGCTTCAGCTACTCTCTGTTCAAGAGCAAGTTTCAGAGTCTCTTCTGACATCCATTTTGGTCTTTTTTTTTCCTTTCCTGTCTTTTGAGTGACTTTTTGTTTCTTTATGTATGATATTCTTAATTTTATCCCATAGCTCATCTGGCTTTCAGTCACTGGTGTTCAATGCACCAAATCTATTCTTCACATGGTCTCTTAACTTCAGGTGGGATATAATCAAGGTCATATTTTGGCTCTCATTGATTGTTGTAATTGTCTTCAATTTCAACTTGAATTTGCATATGAGCAGTTGATGGTCTGTTCCAGTCAGGTCCTGGCCTTGTTTTGGCTGAAGATATTGAGCTTCTCCATCACCTCTTCCCACAGATGTAGTCAATCTGATTCCTTTGTATTCCATCTGGTGAGGGCCACATATGTAGACACTGTTTACGTTGTCATCCTTAAAAGTATTTATCTAGCAGTTACTCTACATGGCACTCAACTTGTTGCTGTTGTTAGGTGCTGTTGAGTCAGCTGTAACTCATAGGGATCCTCTGTACAACAGAACAATACACTGTCCAGTCCTGTGCCAGCCTCACAATCCTTGCTATATCTGAGCCCATCGTGGCAGTCACTATGTCAATCCATCTAGTTGAGGCCTTCCCCTTTTACGTTGACCCTCCACTTTACCAAGCATGCTATCCTTCTCCAGGGAATGGTCCCTTCTGACAACATGACCAAAGTAGGTGAGGCGAAGTCTGGCCATTCTCACTTCCAAAGGAGCATTCTGGCTGCACTTTGTCCAGAGCGGATTTGTTTGTTTTTCTGGCAGTCCATGGTACTTTTAGTATTCTTCACCAACACCACTATTCAAAAGCATCAACTCTTCTTCGGTCTTCCTTGTTGATTGTCAAGATCTCACATGCATATGAGGCAACTGAAAATACCATAGCTTGGGTTAGGCTCACCTTAGTCTTCAGCGAGAGATCTTTGCTCTTCAGCACTTGAAAGGTCTTTTGCAGCAATGTGTTCAGTGCAATGTGTCATCTGATGTCTTGGCTGCTGCTTCCATGGGTGTTGATTGTGGAACCAAATAATATGAAGTCTTTGACAATTTCAATCTTTCCTCCATTTATTGTGATGCTGCTTACTGGTCCAGTTATGAGGATATCTGCTTTGTTTATGTTGAGATGTAAAGCACTCAACTTAGTAGTATATAAAACACAGTTCTTGCCTTGCGGAGTGATAATAAGATAAAGAGGTAAGACATAAAGATATGTGCAGTGTATCACTTGGTATGGCTTTTCTAGCCATAAGTCTTTGTAAAGTCTGTGGTGGAATTTACCGTGAACAACTGAGTAGCTCCTGATTGTTAAATTATCCACCTAGGGTATTTCTGTTGGGAGTAGCACAAAGTAATTTTCTGGGAAGTTCACTATCTCTCAGGTGTATAGAATTCTGATGTTGGGATTGGTTAGTTTGCCACTCTGCCAGGCTCAAAAGGAACCCTCGTAGAGGTAGAAGAGATCTCTCACTGCTGGCTGAGAGACGCAAGACACACACTGCTGAGAGAGACCTTGAGAGAGATATGCTGCTGAGAGAGACTGTTGGCTGAGAAATGGCAGGCTGAGAGAGACTGAGCATGTTCCTGAACCTGAATTGTAGCCTGTTGCTTCCCTAATAAACCCCATAATCTGTGACTTCTGTGTGGCCACTGCAGTGAATTACTGAACCCAGCAGAGAGGTGGTGGGTGCTGCGGGTGGAACGGTTGGTGTCAGGGTTGACGAAAGGGCTGGAGGGAGGCAGCATGTCTGGCCTGGCAGGAACAGGCCTTGGGCTATGGACAGTGATTCTCTCTTCTTCTTGTGGGGTTAGAGGTCAGAAGATGTGGCCTACTTGTCCCTTTGGCAATATGAAAATGATATTATAGAATAGTATGTGTTGAAATGAGAGTACAGAAAGTACTGCTCTAAAAATTCAAGTAATACGGTGATTAATATGAATTCCAGAAAGTAAAATCACTGATGATTATATAGCTTTATCTAATACCTTAATGTTATAGCCAAAGAGATCTTTGCTAATAACTGACTTACTAAAGTAACACATCTAACAAGTATCAGAATGGTATCAATACTCTAGTATCCAGATATAATTTAAAAAATGGTATGAAGAGTGTTTATTTTCACTTTGGGACATACCAGCTTTAAGACAACATCTAAGCAGAGATGTTCTATAGACAGCTAAAATACTTATGACTATAAATCAGAGGAAAGATTGGCACTAGAAAAATAAATTTGACTTTGTTGTTGTCAGGTGCCACTGTGTTGAGTTTGACTCATAATGACCTTATGTAATAGAGCAGAACTATCCAATAGGGTTTTCCTAGGCTATAATCTTTACAGAAGCAGATTGACACATCTTTCTCCTGTAGGTGGGTTCAAACTGTCAACCTTTTGGTTAGCAGCTGAGGGATTACCCACCGCACCATATTATCTACTATACACCTTTAAACTCACTGCTATGGAGTCCATTCCAACTCTCAGTGACCTACCTCCTTTGGGTTTCTGAAGCGGTAAATCTTTATGGAAGTAGACTGTGCCATCTTCCTTCTGTGGAGTGGCTCGTGGATTTGAATTGCCAACCTTTGGCACCACGCCAGCAGAACTCCTTCTCTACCTTTACTAAGCTATATTAAAACCTTCTTTTCCTTTAAGTTTTTTGGCTGATAGGCAATGAACCTAATTCCCTTCCTCAGACTACTGGACCATATTAGTTTTAAAATAATAAATATAGATATTGCTTTGGTACTTTATATACCTTAATTCATTTAATCCTTACAACCAACTTATGAGGTACAATTATTACCCCTCATTTACTGATGAGGAAACAGACACACAGAGGTTTGGACTCCCACTCAATGTCATACAGCTAGTCGGCAGCAAAACTAGGATATGAACTCAAGCAATCTAGTCCTCCTTAAGCACTATAGTTCTCTCATATCTAGCATTCGTGACATCTTAGGATTCATCCTACAGAGCAGTTTGGAAAGATTTTAATGTACTTACTTGTAATGTATTTGTATCCCATATTTTCAGAGTTTTATCAAATGAGCTCGATGTGAACATGCCAGTGTCATGAGGATACCACTGCACAGTCTCCACACTGTATCTGTGAACATCAGGATGGCTTCTACAAGACAGTGATCAAAAGTTAGGTATGATTTATATGAATGCCAAATGTGCACTATATTAATAAGAAGCAGTCTCAGGGAGGATGATACAAATGGCCAAATCTAGATCACATGTGTCCTACTTGTCCAGGAGAAGGGAGAAAGAATGTCTCATTTACATTTAGTAAGAATTTTGTCTGAAGTTAAAGTGAGGGCATTGATTGGGAAAAAATGGAATCCTGAAACCTGATAAAAATGGGATCCTGATAAACCCAAGGTTGACAAGTAAAAAGGCACAGTTCTGATATTACCAAACAACATAATGGGGACAGAGGAGCTCTGGTAACATAGTGCCTAAGGCACTTGACTGCTAACCAGAAGGCTGGCGGTTCAAACCCACCAGCCACTCCTTGGAAGGAAGATGGAGCAATCTACTTCCATAGTGATACTGCCTCGGAAACCCAAGGAGGAGTCGCTATGAGTCGGGTCTGACTCGATGGCACATAACAACAACTACAACACAAGAATTTTCCTAGAGGAAAGGAATCTTCTTTGCTGTTCAAGAACACACACAGTAAATTTACCCAGAATAAGTGTCAGAAAAGAGTCTGAATTAAAACACATTAACTCAGTAACAATCTTTATTGAAATAATTTTTAAAAATTAGATTATAAACTTTTGGGATATAAAAATTCTATCTTAATTCATTTTATAATGTTGCCCACTACAAATCTGAACTCTCACTTTTAAAAAATGGAGCTTGACTCTAAGATAAAATTATGGTAAAAATAAGAAAAGGGTGGCACACTAAGTATTTATTTGATTTTACACAACAAAAAGGCAGAGCATATTTCCCATGAATAACATTATACAGCATATGAAACATATGAAAATACTACTTGCTATATAACAATTTAAGGAGTTCTGGTGGGCATTTGATTGCTAACCAGAAGGCTGGTGGTTCAAATCCACCAGCCACTCCTTGGAAGGAAGGTTGGGCAATCTACTTCCATAGTGATACCGCCTCGGAAATCCAAGGGGGGGTCGCTATGAGTCAGATCTGACTTGACGACAGTGAGGTTTTTTCTTTTTTGGTGGCACAGTGCCTAAGGCATTTGACTGCTAACCAGAAGGCTGGTGGATCAAAGCCACCAGCAGCTCCATGGAAGGAAGATGGGCCAATCTATTTCTGTAAAGATTTACTGCCTAGGAAACCCAATGGGAGTCTCTATGAGTCAGAATTGACTGAAAAGCAGTGAGTTTTGTAACAATTTAGACTTAATGTTAAAATGTTACCTAGGATGAAGTTAAGATAAAAATGAAGTATATAAGGTAAGTGCATTACATTTCAGAATTTAGAATGTTTTATTTCTTTTTCTGAGGGTAGGGGGAGTGAGGTGTAAATAGCCTAAGTATCTTGAAATCAAGTACCAGAGTATTTGAGGTGATACCTTGTTTTGTATTAAGGTTCTCTGTAACTATAATGCTTTCTGTTTACACAATGCTTTTATCATTTTCCAAGAGCTTTTTAAAAGACAGTATGTATCTCATTTAATTTTCACAGAAACCTTACAAGAATAGCAAGACAAGTGTAATAATCTCTAATTCAAAACAAAAAAAATTCTGAGGCACATAGATATTAACTAACTATCCCAAATTTATGCTTCCAAAGTGAAGTGCCAGAATCAAGAAACAATCAGTTTTCTTGCAAATATGACTTGGACTGAAGCACATATTCTAGTGCTGTGGAAAGAGCTTTAGAACAGAGTGGTTGCTGATACTGTTTACAAGTTCTTCCTCTTGAAAGCATTTTCTCCACACTTAATTTTGTTAACTAATTAATAATTACTAATAATTCATACTGGCTCAGTATCACATTAGATATAAGCAAAAAGAATTAATTGATCATTATGAACACACTATACAAAATCATACACTTTATTAGACACTTAAAAAAAGATTGGCAAAGTGGTAAAGAATACTCAAAAAAAAAAAAAACCTACCAAACTCAATGTTGTCGAGTCGATTCCAACTCACAGCGACCTCTCCTTAGGTTTCTGAGGCGTTATCTCTACAGAAGTAGATTGCCCAGACTTCCTTCCAAGGAGTGGCTGGTGGGTTTGAACTGCCAGCCTTCTGGTTAGCAGTCAAATGCCTTAGGCACTACACCACCAAGATATTCCCAAGTCAGCAAAATCAGGTAAATGGAGGTACAGTTGCAAAATAAGCTGTTTTGGATGAGTAGAGGGGCAAGAGTGTGTGTGTGGAGGGCAGTGGGGGGCAACTGCAAAATTTATTACATCTAGCCTTCAATCTTTTTTTATTACTACCAGTTGAACTAATTTAGGTGGTGTCTATTATTAGCTAAAATACTCATAAATCAATCTCAGACTCAAAACTAAACCAAATTCACTGCTATCGAGTTGGGTTCAACATAACGACCCCTCCTTGGGTTTCCAAGGCAGTATCACTACAGAAGCAGACTGCCCAATCTTCCTTCCAAGGAGTGGCTGGTGGGTTTGAACTGTCAACCTTCTGGTTAGCAGTCAAATGCCTTAGGCACTATGCCACCAGAGCGCCTGAATCTTATACTAAGTGGTACTAAAAACTATAATTACTGGGTTGTGCTATGTAAGAATAGAAAAACAACATAATCAAGTCTTTAAATGTTTATGAAAATTGATACTGAAGTTGATTTTCAGAAGTCATGTGTTCAGAACAGCTATACCTAAATTTGTTATTTTCAAGATAATGTCAAGGGATACTAATGTAAATATGCCATTTCAACAATTTATTTCAGCCATTCATACTACTGCTATTTTCATGTTTTGCATTTGATAAAAAAACCACTGAATTGTTTACAAATTCATAAATCACATATTTAATACATACCTGCCAACAGAACACACAGCTTTACATGTGTAATAAGGTTGTCTGCTGGAGTTTTCAAGGTCATAAAGTACAATCACACCATCTGAACCACCTGATAACATACTGATAATAATAATAATAAAAAAAAGAGATAATAAGAGTTCATATTAATCCATCATTTTGTGTATTTATTTATGATGACTGCATATTTCTGAAAATTATTAGTTTACAAATATTCAACTCCTTTTAAGCCCATAAATGTTCATTAATACAGACTTCAATAAAGAAAATTACCTAATTTTAGAAAAATAATATACCAACATTCAATCAGTGATCATTTAAAATTTACCTATGTGATTCCAAAAAGGATGTTTGAAACAAGATAGAAGAAATTTCTTACTTAATAAAGCAAAATATTATTTTAAGTGTCCTAATTGTAATAGCGATAAATGAAAGTCATACAGACCAACTATTACTGAGACCCTGGGCAAATTACTTCATCAGTCTGAGCTTTCATTGATTACTGAAAGACAGTATGTTTACTTAAATCACAAGCAATGTAAAGATAAATTTTATGAGAAAACTGTTTTTACAGTGTCTACTAAAAAGCAGAGGACCAATTATTGTTAGATTTCTTTCACTGATTCAATTTTAACCAAGCATGTATATTAGGCACTCTGTTGAAAGGTGTGGATGCAACTATGAACAAGAGAGGCATGGCATTGTCCTCACAGAGCTTAGAATTTACTAAGGAAAAAGATACAGTATTGTTGTCAGGTGCTGTGGAGTCAGTTCTGACTCACAGCAGTGCTATGTACAACAGAACAAAACAATGCCCTGTCCTGTGCCATCCTCACAATAGTTACCATGCTTAAGCCCATCATGGCAGTCAGTGTGTCAGTCCATCTCATGCAGGGTGTTCCCAACTGTGCTGATCCTCTACTTCACCCAGCATGATATCCTTCTCCAGGGATTAGTCCCTTCTGACAACATGACCAAAGTACAAGAGATGATATCTGGCCATTCTCAATTCTAAGGAGCATTCTGATTGCACTTTCTGCAAGACAGGTTTGTTTGCTCTTCTACTAGTCCATGGTACATTCAATAGTCTTTGCCAACTACACAACTCAAATGCATCAGTTCTTCTGTAGTATTCTTTACTCACTGTGCAGTTTGCACATGCGTATCAAGCTACTAAAATACCATGGCTTGGATGAGGTGCACATTAGTCCTCAAAGTGACATCTTTGCTTTTTAGCACTTTAAAGAGGTCTGTTGCAGCAGATCTGCCCAATTCAATAGGTCACTTGATTTCTTAACTGCTGCTTCCAAAGGCATTGATTGTGGACCAAAGTAAAATGAAATCCTTGACAACTTCAAACTTTTCACCATTTATTGTCATGCTGCTTAATGGTCCACTTGTGAGGATTTTTGTTTCATGTTGCAGTGTAATTCATACTGAAGGCTGTAGTCTTTGATCTTCAAGTCCTCACTGCTTTCAGCAAGCAAGGTTGTGTAATCTGTATATTGCAGGTTGTTACAGTCTTCCTCCAATACTGATGCCCCATTCTTCTTAACATAGTCCAGCTTCTCAGATTTGCTCAGCATACAGACTAAATAAATAGGGTGAAAGTATGATGCACAACTTTCCTGATTTTAAACCATGCAGTATCCCCTTGTTTTGTTTGAATGACTGCCTCTTGGTCTACGGACAGGTTCCTCATGTGTACAATAAAGTATTCTGGAATTGCCATTCTTTGCAACGTTATCCACAATTTGTTACGATCCACACAGTCAAATGCTTTTGCATAGTCAACAAAACACAAACATCTTTCTCGTATTCTCTGCTTTCAGTCAAGATCCATCTGACATCAGCAATGATATCCCTCATTTGATACCCTCTTCTGAATCTAGCTTAAATTTCTGGCAGTTCCCTATCAAGGTACTGCTGCAACCATTTTTGAAATATCTTCAGTAAAATTTTACTTGCATGTGATATTAATGACAAGGTTCAATAATTTGCTTTTACTGTTGGATCATCCATCTTTGGAATGGGCACAAATATGGATCTCTTCTGGTTGGCTGGTGCAAAAACGCCAAGGAGGCCACATGTTCTGACCTCCTCTAACCCTACAAGGGGAAGGCAGGATTACCAGCAGTAATCCAAGGCCTATTACTGCAAGGCCAGACATGCTGCCTCCCTCCAGCCCTTTCACCAACCGTTCCTCCCAAAGCACCCACCACCTCTCTCCTGGGTTTGATAATTCACTGCAGTGGCCACACAGAGCTCACAGATTGTGAGGTTTATTAGGGAAGCACCAGGCTACAACTCAAGTTCAGGAAGAACGCTCAGTCTCTCTCCCAGCCCACCGTCCCTCAGCCAACAGTCTCTCACAGTCTCTTTCCCAGCAGTGCTGGTCCCTTGGTGTCTCACTCAGCGATGCGTGTCTCTTGCGTCTCTTTCCCAACAGCACGTGTCTCCTTCAGGAACGCGTGTCTCTTTTGGCAGCACGTCTTCCTCCACCAGCAGTCAGAGAGCGTTCTGCCTCCAGGAGGTCTCCTTTAGAGCCCGCAGGGTGGTCAAACTAGTCAATTATAGCATCAGAACTCTAAGCACCTGAGAGAGAGTGGGCACCTCCCAGAACATTGTTTTGTGCCACTCCCAACAGAAATACTCCAGGTGGACACCTTCAGCAATCAGGAGCTCCTCAGTTGCTCATAGCAAATTCCACCTTGGAGTTTACAAAGACTTATGGGTAGAAAAGCCACACAAAGTAATTTACTACACTGCAGCTGGCCAGATAGTTACATTCTAAATCTCTTGGCATAACTCAGGGAGCACCTACAGCATTGCATTCATTTGTTGAAACATCTCAATGGCTATTCCATAAATTCCTGCAACCATGTTTTTTGTCAATTCTTTCAGTGCAGCTTGGACTTTTTCTTCTATACCATCTTAGGCTAACTCTTGAAATAGCTGAACATCGACCGATTCTTTTTTGTATGGTGATTCTGTGTATTTTATCTTCTTTTGATGCTTCCTGCATCATTTAATACTTTGCCGAAAGAATCCTTCAATACTGCAATTAGAAGCTTGAATGTTTTTCTTTAGTTCTTTCAGCTTGAGAAATGTCAAGTGTGTTCTTCCTCTTTGATCTTCCAACTCCAGGTTTTTGTACATTTCATGATACTACGTTAACCTCCCAAGCTATCTTGAAATCTTCTACTGAGCTCTTTTCCTCCATCATTTCTTTCATTCTCTTTACCTACTTTCCCTTCAAGAGCAAGTTTCAGAGTCTCTTCTGACATCCATTTTGGTGTTTTCCTCTTTTCCTGTCTTTAATAACTTTTGCTTTCTTCACATATAATGTTCTTAATGTCATCCCATAACTCATCTGGTCTTTGGTTACTAGTGTTCATTGCATCAAATCTATTCTTCAGATGGGATATAATCAAGGTTATATTTTGGTTCTTGTGGATTTAATTTTCTTCAGCTTCTACTTGAACTTGCATATGAGTTAACTGATGGTATGTTCCATAGTCAGCTCCTGGCTTTGTTGTGACTGATGATACTGCGCTTCTTCTCCATTACCTCTTTTCACTGATGTAGTCAATCTGATTCCTGTGCTTTCCATCCAGTGAGGTTCACGTACACAGCCACTGTTTATGTAGTTGAAATAAGGTATTTGCAACGAATAAGCCATTGGTCTTGCAAAATTCTATCATGTGATCTCTGGCATCATTTCTATTACGAAGGTTGTATTGTCCAACTACTGATGCTTCTTCCTTTCCAACTTTTGCATTCCAATCACCAGTAATTATCAATATATCCTCATGGTATGTTTGGTCAATTTTAGTTTGCAGAAGTTGGTAAAAATCTTCAATTTCTTCATCGTTGGCTTTTGTGGTTGATGACTGTATTTGAGTAATAACACTATTACTTAGTCTTCCTTGTAGGTGTATATGGATATTATCATATCACTGACAGCACTGTATTTCAGGATAGATCTTGAAACATTTTTGACAATAAATGCAATGCCATTCTTCTTTAATGTGTCAATATGTGTGAATCAATATGGCCATATCAATCCATTTCAGCTCACTATCGCCTAGGATATCAATCTTTATGCGTTTATTTCATTTTTCCAGCTTCTAATTTTTCTAGAAGCTCTGGTAGCACAGTGCCTAAGGCTTTTGACTGCTAACCAGAAGGCTGGTGGTTCAACCCTATCAGACATTCCGTGGAAGAAACATGGGATCAGAAGATTTACTGCTTCAGAAAACCAATGGGGGTCACTATGAGTCAGAATCAACTCGATGGCAGTAGGTTTTTGTTTTTTAATTTTTCTAGATTCGTATTTCACACATTCCATATTCTTATTATTGATGGATGTTTGTGGGTGTTTCTTCTCATTCTGAGTCATGCCACATGAGCAAATGAAGGTCCTGAAAGCTTTATTCCAGCCACATGATTAAGGTTTCCTCCACTTTGAAGAGGCAGCTCTTCCCCAGTCATATTTTGAGTGCCTTCTGGCTGGAAGGTCTCATTTCCAGCACTATATTAGACATTCCCTGGTATTCATAAAGGTTTCATTGGCCACTCCCCCCCCCCCATAAGTGGACCTGGCCACATCTTTCTTCCTAGACTACCTTAGCCTGGAAGCTCTGCTAAAACCCAGCTATCATGGTTAATCTGTGGCAAAGCTTCAAGCATGGTACAAGCCACCACAGTACTACAAACTGATAGATGAGTGGTAGACTGCTATAATAGCCTACTTTTATTCTAGTTTGGACATTCAGGGAAAGTTATCCTATTTATAATATTTAAGCTGGTATCTGAAGAAGGAGTAGGAGTTAGCCAGACAGGTAGGTAAGCAACAATTCAGGCAGTGGTAAAAAATGTAAAGACCATTCTAGGAACAAAGAGAAGGAATGTGTTATCAGTACTTTGCTCCCATTCATATTTTGGGGTTTGTGGGGTTATCTCATGTTCTAATTTTATTATAATTGTTATATACTGGGTTTTGATTTTGCTATCTTTAGTTTCTTTATGTGTTTTAATAGTGGATATGAGGAAGTTAACATCTATGCAGTCATTGTCATCTCCCCAGAATGCATCTGAAA